CTTTCTTAACTTGTTTAACTCACTCCAAAATTTTTTCTTATTTTCATTAAAATTTCTTGACAGTGCCTCTCCCACTCTTTCATCTGCTCTCCTTTTGCACTCTCTCACCACTCTTCACCTTTCTTTTACTCTCCATATACTCTGCTCTTCTTATAACACTTCTGCTTTGTAGAAACCTCTCGTAAGCTACCTTTTTCTCTTTATCACACCCTTTACTTCATCATTCCACCAATCACTCTTCTTTCCTCCTGCCCCCACCCTCCTATAACCACAAACTTCTGCCCCACATTCTAATACTGCATTTTTGAAACTATTCCAACCCTCTTCAACCCCCCACTAATCATCTTTGCACTAGCCCACCTTTCTGCCCAATAGTCGCTTATATCTCACCCGAACTTCCTCCTCCCTTAGTTTATACACTTTCACCTCCCTCTTACTTGTTGTTGCCACCTTCCTCTTTTCCCATCTACCTCTTACTCTAACTGTAGCTACAACTATATAATGATCCGATATATCAGTTTCCCCTCTATAAACATGTACATCCTGGAGCCTACCCATCAACCTTTTATCCACCAATACATAATCTAACAAACTACTTTCATTACGTGCTACATCATACCTTGTATATTTATTTATCCTCTTTTTCATAAAATATGTATTACTTATTACCAAATTTCTTTCTACACATAGCCCAATTAAAGGCTCCCCATTTACATTTACCCTGGTACCCCAAATTTACCTACTTACTCCCTCCATAACATTTTTACCCACTTTAGCATTGAAATCCCCAACCACCATTACTCTCACACTTGATTCAAAACTCCCACGCATTCACACAAACATTTCCCAGAATCTCTCTCTCTCCTCTACACTTCTCTCTTCTCCAAGTGCATACATGCTTACTATAACCCACTTTTCACATCCAATCTTTATTTTACTCCACATAATCCTTGAATTTATACATTTGTAGTCCCTCTTTTCCTGCCATAGCTTATCCTTCAACATTATTGCTACTCCTTCTTTAGCTCTAACTCTATTTGAAACCCCTGACCTAATCCCATTTATTCCTCTCCATTGAAACTCTCCCACCCCCTTCAGCTTTGTTTCACTTAAAGCCAGGACATCCAGTTTCTTCTCATTCATAACATCCACAATCATCTCTTTCTTATCATTTGCACAACATCCACGCACATTCAGACTTCCCACTTTTTTTAATTATATAAATTAAAAAAAAAAAAAGAAAAAATTATCAGCAACATTTCTGCAAGCGGCAGGACTCCATGTTGCAGTCAGGTGAGCATCCAGCGCCAACTTCGCAGTCTTATATCTCGGTAAGCAATGACCTAAGTTTTTTTTTTTATCCCATTACATGCAGAAAAATGCCCTGTTTATTAAAAATCATTTTTTTTTTCCCAAAAATATTCAGTGTGCTGGGTGAGAGAACGCAGATCTACGTTTGGACAGTTAACAGGTTAAGTGCTTTACTAGCTCTGAATGTGCCATAAATGATCTCTGAATTTGTTCCAGCTCTGATATTTCTCTTGCTTTGAATGAGGCCATCAGTACTGAGCAATATTTCAAGTGAGGGAGCACTAGCAATTTGAAGTGTGTTACCAATGGCATTATTTCCCTCGTTTTGAAAGTTCTCAATACCCACCCCGTCATCCTCCTGGCTATCATGATCCTTGTCTTACGTTCTTTGAAAAAAACGTCAGCTGAGATAATTATTCCCAAGTCTTTCATGTGTTCCTTTCGTTCTATTTGGTGATCCTTGAGTTTTGCGTACAGTGTTCCTTTTGAGTTCTTCATTCTTTCTATACCTAAGCAGCTGGAACTTACCACCATTGAACGTCATGTTGTTCTCCACTGCCCACTTGAAAGCCCTGCTTATGTCTTCCTGTAATTTTTCCATGTCTTCGACCGTACTGACTTTCATGCTTATTTTAGTGTCATCTGCAAATGATGATACAAAAGTGATAGGTGTTTTTATTTATGTCTGCTATGAGGATGAGAAACAGCAGAGGTACCAGGAAGGTACTTTGGGGAACAGCTTTTCACCTCACTGAGTACATTAATTTTTCCTATAACTCTACAATAATCAGTCAGAATAAAACGACACCTTTTACATTACAATGGTTTTAAATAATACTACCTTAAGCTAGGATGACTTCACATAATGAGGAATTAGACACATGCAACACCCAGGAATCTTAATTTGAAGACATTTTGCCAAACAGTGGCTTTTTCAGTTCAATAGGGAGAATGCAAAAAGATATAGCTATACACAGAAGACAGTGGAAGAGGTCATCAGTCCATCACCCTCAAAGTAGTAGTTTTGAGGTTGCCAATCCCTCACCCTGGAGAAGAGTTCAACTCCATAGTCAGGAACAATGCCCAGACTATGGAGATGAACTCTTCTCCAGAATGAAGGACTGACCCCCCCCCCCCCCCAAAAAAAAAAAAAAAAAAATCTTTTAGGATGACGAGACTGATTAAATTGTCTTTACATCTCCACTGCTTTTACTGTCTCTTCTGTATCTGACTGAAGAAGTCTGTGTAGGAAAGATGTTTTGACAATAAAGACATCAACTATTGAACATGTCTTATTCATTTTGGGATTAAGATAAATGTTGCTTTTTTTAAAATATTGGCCACCTCCCACCAAGGCATGGTAATCCAAAAAGAAACACTTTCATCATCACTCACTCCATCACTGTCTTGCCAGAAGCGCACTGATACTACAATTCAGATGCGCCTGCAGACTGCAAATGTCCCCACCCCTCCTTCAGAGCACAGACACTGCACTTCCCACCTCCAAGACAAGTTCAGCTAACCAGTTTCCCTGAATCCCTTCAAAACGATATCATGCTCACACTCCAACAGTACATTAAGTCATAACAACCACTTGCCTCCACTCTCTCCTATCTACCATACTCATGCATGCATGCTTGCTGAATGTCTAAGCCCCTCACACATAAAACCTCCTTTATCCCCTCCCTCCAACCTTTCCTAGGATGACCTCTACCCCACCTTCCCTCCACTACAGATTTGTACACCCTCGAAATCCACCCTCTCTAAAATATATAAATATTACATAAATGAATTTTAGCAAGGTTAAGTCAGGTTATTTAATTAGAGTCGATGTAAAAATAAAAAATGCACACTTGTTAATTTTCGTAAATTAATTTCTCAATCCATAAGCAGGATAAAAACACTACTGGCAGCTTAAAGACATTTAGGGTTGCTAGACTACACTGGCTAAAAAATGTGACATACATAAAACTGACATATGAAAAATATGAATGTTTAATTGATTTGCTTATTTACAAAGCATTAGAAGTGTTTGACTATCATTATCAATTTCATACTATCATTACCAACTTGCTACAGTACTATAATGACTAATTCACTCTCATATTACAGAGAACATCCTCAAAAGAAAGTAACTATTCAATGTCAATTATTCAAATTCAACTAACCATATCTACAAATCCTTTCAAGTAATAGCATATTAGGCCTTTAACTGTAGATGACATATATATACACAGGGGAACCCAAGTGTAACGCGGTACAGGCACTCCAACTGTTTGGGGTCGCCTACCACCTCCTTATGCCTAGGAAGAAAATGTTGGTTCAGGCGGTGCATCATGGGTAACAGTGCCTATTACTAAAACACATGTACACAAGTGAATTCTGTTGCAAGGAGATACCTATATCACAGACAGGCTGTGATACTGACAGGAAGATATCCTATTTGTTCCAAATTTATTACAATTTGACGATATTAAGCCAGCTGGCCCAGTGGTTAACACACTGGCCTATGAGTTTTAGAACTCATGACTCACTTGCCATGGGTTCAGACACCCCACCCATTCAATGATTTAATTTACTAAACACAGAATTCAGCCAAATTGTCTGATTGTCCACAACACCATGGCAAAAAAAAATCTGAATTTTACATACACAAAACCTATGTAAAAACTTACTTATGATTCTAATTAATATGATTACGATTTCCAATTATTTTTTTGGCAAGTCACTTACAAAGATTATCGAGGCTCAGACAATTATTACCAGTGCATATGAACTAATACAGTTGTTTTAGTGAACCTTGGCATAAGCAATGGAAAGATATTACTGTTGCAGAGATGTATCATTTCTGTATACCACCACTTCTTTCAACAAACCGGCCATGCCCCACAGAGGCAGGGTGGCCCAAAAAAGAAAAATGAAAGTTTCTCTTTTTAAATTTAGTAACATATACAAGAGAAGGGGTTACTAGCCCCTTGCTCCCGGCATTTTAGTCGCCTCTTATGACATGCATAGTTTATGGAAGAATTCTGTTCCACTTCCCAATGGAGATTTACAACACTTACTATTACTAATATCACATGCTCATAAAAACAAAATACCCCATGTTTTGAATAATAAAACACCTTGAAACATACATAACAAGAAAGTAGTATACATAGTGACAGACACACAAAACAAAATAGCAATAAAAAAATCATAATTTGATGTAAATAAATTGTAAAACTGCTATATTTCCTCATGCTGCTGTTACTGCCAAATGTAATTTTTTTGCCAACTTCAACACACCATAAAAGCCATCAGTGTTCTTTTATTAAATTTTTCTTCTTATAGTTTCATTTAGAAAAATATGTTCCTCAAATTGTAATTTTTTTTGGCAACAAAGAATGCATAACTTCCCACAGTTAATGGATTAAGATGACAAAAAAAAATATTGCCACCGTGTAATTAAGGTAACAAAACAACTGTAGATTTTTACTCATATGGTACCACAGAAAACCTGTTAGAAGCAATCGATTTAAAGGATAAACATGTTACAGTGTTAATGGCATGAAAAGACATAATAATAAAACTTTTATTAATAAACTCTTGATTAAATAACCCAATCAAAAACTGTTAAATTTATCCCATTAGTCAGTCAAGTAAAACTAATAACATTACTGCACTCTGACATTCCAAGTTGTAAATACCCGAATTTCCTCATCCATAGAACCGAGGAAAAAGCTGCCCAGGGTCATTGAGGCATGAATGGGTACAAACTGAGTCTTCAAGGCTGTGAGAAGATGTGCCAGACCCATCACATCTGGTGCTAGTGTACAGCTGTCCTACAAAAAATGAATTATCTAATATAAATGATATCTTTGTTTTTTCTGCCAATTCTCCAAGTAAACAAACTGATGATATACCAATACAATAATAAATAATAAAGTGACTTTTAGAGCATTTTTCAGTGGAAGACTAAAAAATTAAATTTAATTTCGTTAATACCATTATGATTTTCACATGTAACATATCCTTCACAACGAACACTCTCTAGGCCAGGTATTCCTTTACCTGAGAATGCTTCAGCAAAACATTCTTAGCAAATATTTATAAATTATTTATACAGTGGACCCCCGGCATACGATATTAATCCGTTCCTGAGAGCTCATTGTATGCCGAAATTATCGTAAGGCGAATTAATTTTCCCCATAAGAAATAATGGAAATCAAATTAATCCGTGCAAGACACCCAAAAGTATGAAAAAAAAAAACAACTTTTACTGCATGAAATATTAATTTTAATGCACATAAACTGACGAAGACATGCACAGTAAGTAGTACTCTACTAACAATAGAATACATAACACTTACCTTAATGAAGATCTGCTGACGATTGATGGGATGGGAGGAGGGGAGAGTGTCGAACTTATTGTTTAGAAGGGGAATCCCCTTCCATTAGGACTTGAGGTATCAAGTCCTTTTCCAGGGTTACTTCCCTTCTTCTTTTAATGCCACTAGGACCAGCTTGAGAGTCAGTGGACCTCTGTCGCACAACACATCTATCCATAGAGGCCTGTATCTCTCGTTCCTTTATGATTTTTCTAAAGTGGTTCACAACATTGTCATTGTAATAGTCACCAGCACAGCTTGCAATAGCTGTGTGAGGGTGATTTTCATCCATAAAGGTTTGCACCTCAAGCCACTTTGCACACATTTCCTTAATCTCTTTTTTCAATTCCATACTAATTCTCACCCTTTTAACCACAGGGATGACACTAGAAGCTTTCTTGGGGTCCATGGTGAGTTATTTTGTAGTTACAAGCACTAAAAACACTGGGATAATGTGAAATGTACTGAATGTATGCGTAGATGCGACTGCACTGGCTGGCTTGCGAACACTGGCACTGAGGTCAAACATGGGATGCGTCTTGGATGAATCGCGTGAGGCGAGTTTTTTAATGTGAGGCGAGGCAAAATTTTTGCGTTAAAATGTATCGTATGCCGGATTTAACGTATGCCGATGCCATCGTATGCCGGGGGTCCACTGTATAGTGAAAACCTTTGGAAAGGCACTTGAAGCACTGACTGCAGATACTTGCCTGCTACTTTCCTTATGAGGCACTATCAAAAAGTTCCTAGAAAAAATATAATGGCTTACCAAATTACCTAGCTGCTGATGTTTCCCTCAAAGTACTCTCCTTGGGAGGCTATACACTGACCCGTCCTCTGCCACTTCTCAAAACATTTCTACAACTCTTTCCTAACAGCATCCAGCAAGGCCTGCAATTCTGCTTGAATCTCCTCTACATCATTAAAATGTCCTTAGAGTGTCATTTTTAATTTTGGGAAGAGAAAGAAGTCATAGGGGCTAGATCTGGGGAGTAGGGAGAGTGGGGAATGACTGCCATGTTGTTATTGGCCAGAAAATGATAGTCTTACTGGTCTTAGAGTCAGCGAGTGGGGAACAAATTCTGCAGCCATTCATCTCATGTTCAAATTTTCAGTCAAAATGCTTTGACATGGCCTATCAGAAATTCCCATAGCACCTGCAATGTCCTGGATACTCTGACAACAATCTTTGTGAATAATCTTCCTCACTATTTCAGTGTTCGTGTCTGTTTCTGACAGTGATAGACAACCAGCGTTCATCATACTTGACTGACATTCATCCTGCTTTGAATCAGGAAAACCATTCAAAACATTGTCTGACCCACTGCTCGAACGGCAAATGCCTGCTGAGGCATTTCACACAAACATGATCTTCTTTCTAAAATTTGATTCCAAGAACTTTTTGATAAAAGTCTTGTATTATATTAGTGAAACACTTGATTCTTGGCTCCAGTGAGAAACAAAACTATGTGAGGAAAATTAATTTGTTACCATATGATGATGCTTTGATTTAGATACTCTAACAAGTGAGCATCACTTCTGCTACCAAGCTACTTACTGCCCTTGCAATAATTACACAATTCACAATCCTGGACTTGCATTGAAATTTGTATTTCTTCTCTTAAGCTTCTTACATTAAAGTGTGCACTAAGAGAACCAATAACCTTCCTCAATATATTGGTACCTCATTACCAGCGAGTGCCATCTACTTGCCTTAAATGACAAACAAGCAAGCATCAACAATTCTAAAAGTAATTTTATGCCCACTTTACTTGCAAGTTATTGAATAGTCAAGAGAAAATTTTATGAGGCCACTTCCTGAAAAATGGAATTCCATGAGAAAACACAACTTCTAGACAATTACACCAAGCTATTAGAAGGAATACACTTTTGATCAAAAACAGAGAATAAATTTTTACACATTAAATAGAGTGTTCAGCAGAAGTTTGTGGTTACAGGAAAGTGGGTGCAGGAGGGAAGAGGAGCGATTGGTGGAATGATGATGTAAAGAGAGTAGTAAGGGAGAAAAAGTTAGCATATGAGAAGTTTTTACAAAGTAGAAGTGATGCAAGGAGGGAAGAGTATATGGAGAAAAAGAGAGAGGTTAAGAGAGTGGTGAAGCAAATGTAAAAAGAGAGCAAATGAGAGAGTGGGTGAGATGTTATCAACAAATTTTGTTGAAAATAAGAAAAAGTTTTGGAGTGAGATTAACAAGTTAAGAAAGCCTAGAGAACAAATGGATTTGTCAGTTAAAAATAGGAGAGGAGAGTTATTAAATGGAGAGTTAGAGGTATTGGGAAGATGGAAGGAATATTTTGAGGAATTGTTAAATGTTGATGAAGATAGGGAAGCTGTGATTTCGTGTATAGGGCAAGGAGGAATAACATCTTGTAGGAGTGAGGAAGAGCCAGTTGTGAGTGTGGGGGAAGTTCGTGAGGCAGTAGGTAAAATGAAAGGGGGTAAGGCAGCCGGGATTGATGGGATAAAGATGAAATGTTAAAAGCAGGTGGGGATATAGTTTTGGAGTGGTTGGTGCAATTGTTTAATAAATGTATGGAAGAGGGTAAGGTACTAGGGATTGGCAGAGAGCATGCATAGTTCCTTTGTATAAAGGCAAAGGGGATAAAAGAGAGTGCAAAAATTATAGGGGGATAAGTCTGTTGAGTATACCTGGTAAAGTGTATGGTAGAGTTATAATTGAAAGAATTAAGAGTAAGACGGAGAATAGGATAGCAGATGAACAAGGAGGCTTTAGGAAAGGTAGGGGGTGTGTGGACCAGGTGTTTACAGTGAAACATATAAGTGAACAGTATTTAGATAAGGCTAAAGAGGTCTTTGTGGCATTTATGGATTTGGAAAAGGCGTATGACAGGGTGGATAGGGGGGCAATGTGGCAGATGTTGCAAGTGTATGGTGTAGGAGGTAGGTTACTGAAAGCAGTGAAGAGTTTTTACGAGGATAGTGAGGCTCAAGTTAGAGTATGTAGGAAAGAGGGAAATTTTTCTCCAGTAAAAGTAGGCCTTAGACAAGGATGTGTGATGTCACCGTGGTTGTTTAATATATTTATAGATGGGGTTGTAAGAGAAGTAAATGCGAGGGTCTTGGCAAGAGGCGTGGAGTTAAAAGATAAAGAATCACACACAAAGTGGGAGTTGTCACAGCTGCTCTTTGCTGATGACACTGTGCTCTTGGGAGATTCTGAAGAGAAGTTGCAGAGATTGGTGGATGAATTTGGTAGGGTGTGCAAAAGAAGAAAATTAAAGGTGAATACAGGAAAGAGTAAGGTTATGAGGATAACAAAAAGATTAGGTGATGAAAGATTGAATATCAGATTGGAGGGAGAGAGTATGGAGGAGGTGAACGTATTCAGATATTTGGGAGTGGACGTGTCAGCGGATGGGTCTATGAAAGATGAGGTGAATCATAGAATTGATGAGGGAAAAAGAGTGAGTGGTGCACTTAGGAGTCTGTGGAGACAAAGAACTTTGTCCTTAGAGGCAAAGAGGGGAATGTATGAGAGTATAGTTTTACCAACGCTCTTATATGGGTGTGAAGCGTGGGTGATGAATGTTGCAGCGAGGAGAAGGCTGGAGGCAGTGGAGATGTCATGTCTGAGGGCAATGTGTGGTGTGAATATAATGCAGAGAATTCGTAGTTTGGAAGTTAGGAGGAGGTGCGGGATTACCAAAACTGTTGTCCAGAGGGCTGAGGAAGGGTTGTTGAGGTGGTTCGGACATGTAGAGAGAATGGAGCGAAACAGAATGACTTCAAGAGTGTATCAGTCTGTAGTGGAAGGAAGGCGGGGTAGGGGTCGGCCTAGGAAGGGTTGGAGGGAGGGGGTAAAGGAGGTTTTGTGGTGCGAGGGGCTTGGACTTCCAGCAGGCATGCTTGAGCGTGTTTGATAGGAGTGAATGGAGACAAATGGTTTTTAATACTTGACGTGCTGTTGGAGTGTGAGCAAAGTAACATTTATGAAGGGATTCAGGGAAACCGGCAGGCCGGACTTGAGTCCTGGAGATGGGAAGTACAGTGCCTGCACTCTGAAGGAGGGGTGTTAATGTTGCAGTTTAAAAACTGTAGTGTAAAGCACCCTTCTGGCAAGACAGTGATGGAGTGAATGATGGTGAAAGTTTTTCTTTTTCGGGCCACCCTGCCTTGGTGGGAATCAGCCGGTGTGATAATAAAAAAAAAAAAAATAATAATAAATAATCAAGGAAATGACCTCAAGAAATGACTTCAGGTCCAAGGCTTGGCCATGCAGCAGATGTAATAAATCGAAGAACTGTCAATGGTAAATGGTAATAACAAGCCTGGCCCAAGGCTGGGCTCTGAGAGTAGAAAACTCCCAGGACTCAATAAAGGTATAGTATATCAAATGTGAGGCTTTCACATAGAAGCACATGGAAACCCTTGAGGAGAACCATATTAAACATGCTTATGTGTTACTCCTATAAGAATTGACTATCCTAGTGGAAGTAGACATAGCCTCAGGGAAAAAAATTAAGATACACCTTTATGTGAAAGTATATTTTGGTCTTATGATAACATCGAAACTGAATTACTTGGCAATGAACTCTTCTAATTATGGATGAAATTACCTACTTGTGGTTACAGGAGTGAAGCTGATACAGTACAACACCAATAAAAATTTGTATGCTTTGCTTATATATAATTTTTAATGAAAGGCACCTCAATAATGAAATTACTTATTTGAATTTTCCCCACTGTGAATATTTTTTGACTCAGCAAGTGACCTCTAAATTGTGAGGCTTGGAGTACATCCCTTAATTTGTGGGGTGTGGTGTACGACCCTTAAATTGTGGGGCATAATCCTTGACTTCTAAATTGTGGGACTAACCATCTGCCTATATGTGACATACTGAACTACAAGTTAACTCTGTAACACACTATGACAACACTAACTAAACACATCTCAGACACTGCCAGCTTCACTATATCACTGACAACATGAGGTCACTTCTCAGAGCCAACATTTTCTACCAGCCCAAACCTGACTTTGAAATAAAAGTAGTGTCCTACAACTTCCACCTGTCATGGAATCAACTATTTAACACACATTGACAATATTTAGTATAACAATAATATTCATAAACTCATAATGAATTATGCTGAATAACACTGTTAAGTCAGGGTAGGTGAAATTTATTCAGCTATAAATTTCAGACTGATCAGATCTGAAACTGAATCACTGAGTATGTCACCACACTCCCATAACTTTACAGTGATATGTAAATGCTTTTTGTGCTAATACATATAGAAAATACAATTACATGTGCTAGTCACACACACAAAAAAATGTTACCAAAGAGGTTAAAATTCATCTTACTAACCAGATCAACAGATGATTACTCCATTATGCTGTACTTAAGTGAAAAATTTGTTACACTAAAGAGGAAAATGCAATTATGAAAGTCTTTATACTTACTGAGCTGGGAGCAGATCTCTCCAGTGTTAGGATGACTTGTACCACAACATCAAACAAGGTCCGCATTATCATTTCAACGTCCTGGTGCAAAGTTGCAGGTAACTGCAACAAAGCCAAAAAAATATTATTGCCTTGACCTTCATATGCTCAGTTATTATTCTAATATACTTCAGTCTTATTTTCCTTGATATATTATTAACCCTTTCAGGGTCCGTGCCGTAGATCTACGGCTTTATGTTCAGGGTCCAAACCGTAGATCTACGCCATGAGCTCAGCTCACTCTGATAAGCTGTGAGTGGTAAATTTGGGCCTAGATATGAGAGAATACATCTATGTGGTATGTGTGCACCACATAAAACAAATCCTGCAGCACACAGTGTACAATGAGAGAAAAAAACACCGTGATTTTCGATTAAAACAGCGACTTTGAAGTGCTTATTCCTATGTTTTTTATAGTTGTATTTGCGATTTCTTGGTCTCATTTGATAGAATGGAAGATATATTACAGAAGTAGAGATGATTTGGTTGGTTTTAGTATTGGAATTGGCTTAAAACTGAGCTCAAAGTAGCGGAAATGTTAAATTTTGTCGATGTTCAAGAGTAAACAAACGACCTCACATGTCTAATACACGCCAGCTGGTGGGTCTAATATACATTCACAAATGAGGTGATGATATTTATACAATTATTACAATACTGCATAACAGTAAATCTTCTATTTTTTGGTGTGAATAAAAATTTATTATGTGAATAAAAAATTAAAATGAAATTCATTTGTAAAGAATGAAAACATAACTAATGAACAGAGGAAATGTTAGTTTAGTGCCAGGAATGCATGCGCTGTTTATTCTGGACCCTATTTTGAAATTGGAAGATTTTGAACTTTTTATTAAATTGGCCAAATTACCAATTTCCGATCACTTTATTTTGTAGTTGAAACAGTTGACTGGGTGATTTCTTGTGCTCAGTCGATAGAATAGAAGTGATACTAGTGAAATAGGTAAAAAGAATTTGGTCAACTGGAATAATGTAATTGGCCTAAAATGGGAGTCAGGTCGGCAAAATCGCCGATTCGTAAATATCGCTGACACATCAAAATTCGTGAGAGCATAATTTCGTCAATTTTCCATCAAATTTCGTACTTTTTGTTGTATTACCTTCAGAAAAAGATTATCTACCATTTCATAAGAAAAAAAAAAAAATTTTTTTGAAAATTCTTGGACCCTGGTGCACACTTTGAAATTTGACCTCTGGACCCTGAAAGGGTTAAAGGTTAATGTGCGTATTACCATAGAAAATGCCACACTTCCAGAAATTTTACAAACAGTACTTAATAATATTAAGTTATGAGAGAAGTCTTTTAAATAGCATAGTGATGATAAAGGTTCTTTAACTTGAAAATATATGTGGGCAAGAGAGAAAATTTTCAAGGACAAGCTACAAAAATGGCTACCAGAACTAAAAGATACAAATGACAAAGAAAGGATGAAGGCAATAAGACATGCTTTCACTAGCTAACAGGAGAAAAACAGACATGTTTGATAACCACTTAGAAGATTATCAAATGATACAAAAAAAAAAAAAAACCTGGAAGGGGCAGTTTCTTGGAGTCATCAACTGGAAGAAGAAAATACAGCTATAAATTAAGCAAGAGGTGATGCAGTAATACCACAAAACTCTTCACAGAGTAGTAAAACATTGGACTCAGCTACAAGTGGATATACAGAAATTAAATGCCAAAGATGGGGTATCACAAGGTTAAGTCTCTTCTTGCAGCTGCAAATAGGTAATTAATAAATCTGGAAATGTGTTCCCATACCATGGTGACTACTTTTTTGGACTGCCTCTAGGTGAAATAAACAATACTGTACCTACAAACACTGCAGAAGCACCATAGGAGTACAATGATTTCCTGGATAAATATTATCTCATGTGATGAATTAAACCCCAAAATTAATACTGAGAAGGGCTTTATAAAAAATAATCTATAATCTTTCAACACTTTCACCATCACTCATACATAATTACTGTCTTTGCAAAGGCACACAGATACAACAGTTTAGATATCCCTCCAAACTGCCAATATCCCAAACCCCTTCTTTAAAGTGCTGGCATTGTACTTCCCATTTCCAGGACTCAAGTCCGGCTAACAGATTTCACTGAATCCCTTCACAAAATATTACCCTGCTCACATCCCAACAGCTCGTAAGGTCCCAAAAATCATTTATCTCCATTCACTCCTATCTAACACGCTCACGCACACCTGCTGGAAGTTCAAGCCCCTCCCCCCCAAAAAACCTCCCTTACCCTTTTCCTTTCCCAACCCTTTTTCGGGGCGACCCTACCCCCCCTTTCCCTTCCCTCACAGATTAATAGCTTCCTTGTCATTTACTTGATCCTTCTTTAAAAATGACCAAACCACCCAACAACCCCTCTTCAGCCCTCTGCTAATATTTTTATTAACTCCACCTTTCCTAAATTTCCCACCTAAATTTTTCTGCATAATTTTTACAACCCCACTGCCCTTAAACAGGAAATCTTCACTGCCTCCAACTGCCTCCTCGTGCAGCTTTTAAAAAACCCAAGTTCACCCCCTATAAGTGTTGGTATACTAAATTTTCATAATTCCCTTCTTTCCCTCCTAGATAAATAAAAAACGCTCAAAATAAATGTGTAACATAAAAGTGTAAATGCATATTAGTGTAACCTAAGAAATTTGGGAAAAGTAGCAAGATTACCTAAAACTTGCATGTTTTTAAACAGAAAAAAGACCCCCAGCAATCTACCTTCTGAAAACAAATACAGGGTTTGTTTTACACTCACTTGGCAGTACGGTAGTAATTCGCTTTGCGGGTTTTAAGAAAAAAAAACTGAACTACCTTATGAGAAAATTCTTAATTGTTTATGAGTAGAATAAAATATCTGAGAGAACTTCTCCACACAAAGTTAGCTCCGGCGGCTGTCCAAGTCTGCCTTAGATGAGTAATATTGTTTCAAAAGTAACCCTCGTCCCCTTGGGGTTTTAAATTAGATATTTTATTATTTTTATTATTTTATTTTATTATTATTATTATTTTTGGGTTTTTTCTATTTTCTTTCTAGTTCTTGTTTTTTTTCCCTTTTTTCCCTGGGGAAGTGGAACAGAGTTTTCCCCCGTAAGCCCTGCGTTCTGTAAAAGGGACTAAAAAGCCGGGAGCAAAGATAGTAAAAACCCCTTCTCCCGTATAAATTACTAAATTTAAAGAGAGAAACTTTGGTTTTTCTTTTTGGGCCACCCTGCCTTGGTGTGATACGGCCAGTTTGTTGAGAAAAAAAAAAATTATTATTACTGATGGCCCTGGATTTACACAGTACATGGATGCTTTCAGGTTTATGGTAACTATACTTAGTCCTAATCAGTTCATTAGCACTTAATTCTGCAAAAGAATTTTCATTTTTACTCCTGGAAGGTGCTAAATTCATGCGAGTCATTCAGCAGTATACAGTAAGGCTGAGGAATATGGCAGAGAATAAAAGAGAAGGACAATGCCAAAAGAAAAGGTGGTGACAGTTGGTGTAGCAAATCATAGGTAAAATAATCACTGAGAGAATTAACTGCAAATGTGAGATTATCAGACAGGAAACAAATACAGCAGGATGCAAGGCTGTTAAAGAAAACATCTAAACAGAAGCCAGTGTGCTATCTAATGAACAGGAAAATCAGGCAATGTAAGTTGGACTGTCAGCATGACCTGACAGTTCTTGAAAAACAGTGTTGGTCCACCATCCAGGAGATGACCATAAGCAAGTATTGTGCTACCAATATATAGTTGTGCAAGTACCATTTGATCACACCCAAAGCCATGAAGGAAGGACAGCCACAAGTCCAGCTGTGGCTTGATGAAAAATAGCTTGCTGGTCACTAATACACACCAATAACATTGCCAACCATTTTGCAAGAGATGAGTTATTAACAGAAAATAGCCAGAGAAAGAATGAAAAGGTCCTGAACAGCAAAATGTGCAATGGAGTCGGCAAGTTTCTTACCTTGAATTCCAGCATGGCAAAGAGGCCTCCCCCCCCCCCCCCCCCAAAAAAAAAAAAAAGAAGGCAACTGGCTGGCTGTGCTGCAGGTGCAGCACAACCAGCATCAGTCCAAAGTAAAAGAAATGAAAAATTGTTGGGGAAAAAGAAGAATGGAAAGGCAGACCTGAATCACACGGAATTTCCAAGAAGTACAAGAAAAAATACAGAAGAGATAGGAAGAGGATACAACCATAATAACTCAGTAACTGGATCATGAAGGCCATTGAAGCAAACAAGATAAATGAGACACTGGACATCCTGGTGATACTAAATGAGTGGATGTTATTCTACATAAAAGATGTCAACTAAAAATGACAAGACCAAGGATGAATGGAAGTGAAGAAGAGTGTGTATTGGTCCACATGAAAAACTGAATATCAATGGTAAAATATACCAACAAATATATGAATAAGACAATATGAAATTTATTGCATTTTCTGAGAAGACATTTTGTTTTGTTATTTCAGTAAATGCTGTGAACTTCATATCATGTTTTATACAAACACTAAAATTTATAGAAAATTTTGAATAAATTTAATCAACTGTGATACTCAGCTTTCAGGGAAAAACCAGACCCTCTCCACACTATATTCCATATAACCAGACACCTAATACAGTCACTGTTATCAGTGAGATTGACGAGAGCATATGTAAAGTGTGCTGTATCAGAAACACTGAGAAAGACAGTGGGAGTAAATGGGAAGGAAAAGAAGAATTTGGAGGAGGAGAAGAGAGAGAGAGAGAGAGAGAGAGAGAGAGAGAGAGACTCAGCTGAGTATTATAGTTTTTAACGTCACTGTTAACCTTCTCACTGTTGTGACACCAGCTCGCAAACTTGCTCTCAGTGTTGAAGAATTTAAAAAGTACTTTTTTTTCTCATGAAATGGTAGAGAATCTTTTCCCGATGGTGATGAAAGCAAACGTACGAAATTTGATGGAAAACATAAGGAATTACACTCTCACGAAGTTAGCAGCCTCAACGATATTTATGCATCGGTGATTTTGACCACCTTGAGCCCTATTTTGGGCCAATTTCATTGCTCCAGTAGACTATTCATAGCATTCCTTTTGTTCTATCAATTAAGTACAAGAAATTGCCCATTTACCTATTTCAACTACCCAATAGTGATCAGAAATTGGTAATTTGGCCAATTTCATATGAAATTCAAAAAGGACCAATTTCAAATTCGGGTCCAGAATAAACAATGCAAACATTACTTGCACTAAAATAACATTTTCTTAGTTTATTAGTCATGTCTTCAGGCCCCTTTTATATTACGCTTGCTTTCCATTTTTAATTTTTATTCACACAAAAAAATAGAAGATTTACTGTTATGCAGACTACTGCATTATTATAAAAATGATATTATTTATATCAGAGCATTTGTGAAAGCACATTAGACCCACCAGTTGATGTGTATTGGAAGCATGTGATTTGTTTACTCTTGAATATCGTCAAAAAATCAAACATTTCTGCTACTTTGAGGTCACTTTCAAGCTGCTTTTGGTCTGTAAACCATTAAACATCATCTCTATTTCTGTAATACATCTCCCATTCTATGAAACGAGACCACGAAAACAAGAATATAACCATAAATACCATACAAAAATTTACCGAAAAGTCTTTGTTTTAACCCTTAAACTGTCCAAATGTAGATCTACATTTGCGCGCGTAGCGCTCCAACCTTGATTTTCTCCATAAGAATGTAAAACAAAATGTAAATCTACGTTCGGAGCGCTACGTGAGCGAACGTAGATCTACGTCTGGACAATTCAAGGGTTAAACCAAAAACATGGTCAGTTTTTTCCTCATTATGCATTGCGCTCTACAGGATTTTTTTATACTGTGCACAGTGACCACTCAGACCCATTCTCTCGTATGTAGGCCTACCAGCTTTCTCCCGCAAGACTGGAAGCCGCTAGAATTTTGGCATAATATTACGGGACCGACACTGGCTTCAAAGCCATAATATTACGGGACCGACAGTAAAAGGGTTAAAACAAGATATAAAACAGGATATGGAATACTATTATGACTTTGGAGTGCATCTTCCGATTATAACACGGGTGTCTTTGGAAAAATACATTCCAAATTCCTAACACTAGGCAAATGAATCATTGTCAGGAACATATTAAAGTCGCAAATGGGAGTCTACTGTATACATAATACTTAACACATTTTAAGAATTGTCCAAGCCATGTTCTTCATTAACCCTTAAACTGTCCAAACGTAGATCTATGTTTTTTCAACATTTGAAAATATGTAAAAAAAGTAGATTTTTTTTTTTTTTTACATTTGAAAACGTGTAAAAAAACTTTGATCTATGTTTTTTTTTGTTATATTTGAAAATAAAAATTTATAAAAAAAACGGGGGATTATTTTTGGGAAAGAATACACATGACCTGACTCTGAAGGGAAGGGGGTTAATTTCAGTTTAAAAACTGTGGTGTAAAACTTTTAAAATAAGTTTTTTTTTTCTTTTTCGGATTTGGGTGTTTGTGGATATAAAAATAAAATATTGAAATACAATAACTCATTATAGCTGATTCATATAAACTACTTGAACTTAATGCATAAGACATGTGCAACACTTGGATACCTTTACCTTCAAAATGTTTCACTAGTGCAGGTTTCTTCACAGGAAACCATGGAAAGTACTGTTCAGTCCTTAAGCCTTGTCACCTCTATTTTACTGAAGAAGTCTGATGTAAAGGTTAAATATTTCGGCAATGAAGCCATCTAAGTGTTGCGCATCTTATTCATCAACTTGTTAGTATTGTATACCATTAATATAGGACTATACTTACCATCATCATCATAAATTGGTGAATTTACAGAGTTCTTCATGGCATGTAGCTTGGCTCTGGTAAGGTCCCTTGTACTTTCAACTGGTGTGGCATTAAACAAATTACTGAGATGATTGGCAACTTCCCCAGGACTAAGAACACGACATAATTGATCACAGGCTCCTTGGAGGTGCTCTAATAATGTTACCTGTGCCAAAAAATCAATCAGAAACATGTCATAACTAGTCATTTTTCAAAATTAGTAAAAAGGAAGAAAATAATATCATTACTTCTTATGTGAGATCTATTCCTTTGGCATACAATTGTGAAGCAAGAACACTACCAAAACAGTTTTCTTCTTTTTCAGGGAATAAATAAGGTGTGAACCATTAAAAACAGTAACAAATCTTATTACCAAAATTTTCCTGAAGTACCATCAGAACTTGTTACACCAGAAAAACTTTTAACAACTAATGTGCTCCTCGATAATTCACAATGACATGAAAATAAATAAGAGAAAATGTCAATATAACAAGGAAAAAGCAGCAGTATCATTATGCCATATTACATGCCCTCCCCCCCCTTTTTTTTTTTTGTTACATGGCCTTGTCAGCTAGAAAGATGCTAAGTGATATCTCTATCCTACGTCTGCAACAAGAAACATAACCAGGAACTTTCCTTGGCCAAATGTAGATATAATGAGACACACAAAAACCAGGCCGGGATAATTCACAACTAATCTACAAAGCAGAGATTCAATCATAAGTCATTTTGGCTTGATAATGGAGCAATTTCAAATTAAAACAGTTATAAGAGCAGAATGTAAGTGTGGGGGAGGTACGTGAGGCATTACGTAGAATGAAAGGGGGTAAAGCAGCTGGAACTGATGGGATCATGACAGAAATGTTAAAAGCAGGGGGGGATATAGTGTTGGAGTGGTTAGTACTTTTGTTTAATAAATGTATGAAAGAGGGGAAGGTACCTAGGGATTGGCAGAGAGCATGTATAGTCCCTTTATATAAAGGGAAAGGGGACAAAAGAGACTGTAAAAATTATAGAGGAATAAGTTTACTGAGTATACCAGGAAAAGTGTACGGTAGGGTTATAATTGAAAGAATTAGAGGTAAGACAGAATGTAGGATTGTGGATGAGCAAGGAGGTTTCAGAGTGGGTAGGGGATGTGTAGATCAAGTGTTTACATTGAAGCATATATGTGAACAGTATTTAGATAAAGGTAGGGAAGTTTTTATTGCATTTATGGATTTAGAAAAGGCATATGATAGAGTGGATAGAGGAGCAATGTGGCAGATGTTGCAAATATATGGAATAGGTGGTAAGTTATTAAATGCTGTAAAGAGTTTTTATGAGGATAGTGAGGCTCAGGTTAGGGTGTGTAGAAGAGAGGGTGACTACTTCCCGGTAAAAGTAGGTCTTAGACAGGGATACGTAATGTCACCATGGTTGTTTAATATATTTATAGATGGGGTTTTAAAGGAAGTAAATGCTAGGGTGTTCGGGAGAGGGGTGGGATTAAATTTTGGGGAATCAAATACAAAATGGGAATTGACACAGTTACTTTTTGCCCATGATACTGTGCTTATGGGAGATTCTAAAGAAAAATTGCAAAGGTTAGTGGATGAGTTTGGGAATGTGTGTAAAGGTAGAAAGTTGAAAGTGAACATAGAAAAGAGTAAGGTGATGAGGGTATCAAATGATTTAGATAAAGAAAAATTGGATATCAAATTGGGGAGGAGGAGTATGGAAGAAGTGAATGTTTTCAGATACTTAGGAGTTGACATGTCGGCGGATGGATTTATGAAGGATGAGGTTAATCATAGAATTGATGAGGGAAAAAAGGTGAGTGGTGCGTTGAGGTATATGTGGAGTCAAAAAACGTTATCTATGGAGGCAAAGAAGGGAATGTATGAAAGTATAGTAGTACCAACACTCTTATATGGGTGTGAAGCTTGGGTGGTAAATGCAGCAGCGAGGAGACGGTTGGAGGCAGTGGAGATGTCCTGTTTAAGGGCAATGTGTGGTGTAAATATTATGCAGAAAATTCGGAGTGTGGAAATTAGGAAAAGGTGTGGAGTTAATAAAAGTATTAGTCAGAGGGCAGAAGAGGGGTTGTTGAGGTGGTTTTGGTCATTTAGAGAGAATGGATCAAAGTAGAATGACATGGAAAGCATATAAATCTATAGGGGAAGGAAGGCGGGGTAGGGATCGTCCTCGAAAGGGTTGGAGAGAGGGGATAAAGGAGGTTTTGTGGGTGAGGGGCCTGGACTTCCAGCAAGCGTGCGTGAGCGTGTTAGATAGGAGTGAATGGAGACGAATGGTACTTGAGACCTGACGATCTGTTGGAGTGTGAGCAGGGTAATATTTAGTGAAGGGATTCAGGGAAACCGGTTATTTTCATATAGTCGGACTTGAGTCCTGGAAATGGGAAGTACAATGCCTGCACTTTAAAGGAGGGGTTTGGGATATTGGCAGTTTGGAGGGATATGTTGTGTATCTTTATATGTATATGCTTCTAAACTGTTGTATTCTGAGCACCTCTGCAAAAACAGTGATAATGTGTGAGTGTGGTGAAAGTGTTGAATGATGATGAAAGTATTTTCTTTTTGGGGATTTTCTTTCTTTTTTGGGTCACCCTGCCTCGGTGGGAGACGGCCGACTTGTTGAAAAAAAAAAAAAAAAATATTAAAATACATACAGGTTACCCCCAGTTTGTACAGATTCACTATTATGTCTTGTTTTAATCGCCAACTCCGTATATTTTTTTTTTTTCAACAAGTCAGCCGTCTCCCACCGAGGCAGGGTGACCCAAAAAAGAAAGAAAATCCCCAAAAAGAAAATACTTTCATCATCATTCAACACTTTCACCACACTCACACATTATCACTGTTTTTGCAGAGGTGCTCAGAATACAACAGTTTAGAAGCATATACATATAAAGATACACAACATATCCCTCCAAACTGCCAATATCCCAAACCCCTCCTTTAAAGTGCAGGCATTGTACTTCCCATTTCCAGGACTCAAGTCCGATTATATGAAAATAACCGGTTTCCCTGAATCCCTTCACTAAGTATTACTCCGTATGCAATAAGTACAGTTCACAAAGGCCACGGAAGATTTTAATTACCCATAATTAATGTTAATGGGCTGATTCAGCTTATTACAGCTGCCAAGAACCTGGAACACATTTACAGCATAAGACGAGGGACACTTGTACATCATTATTGTGGTGATGATGAAAGCATATTATAGTGTAGTGCATATGGCATGGCAATTACAGTGCTGAAGATCATGAGACCAGCAAAGAGAAGGCACAAACACTCTTCCAACGATGCTATAACATACATAGTGTGACATGAGGATATGCTTAGCACATTATTTATAATGCAGCATAGAGTACAAATAATGGTCAGTAACGTGTGGTACCATGTATATATTATTAATCTTTGAAATACTGCTCACTGTTCTTTAAACTAGTTTGTTTTATCTTAGTGAAAGGAGGTAAATTAACCAACTGACTGCAAGAAAATTACATTCATGGGATTGTGTCCCTGGGATTTTTTTGATTTGGTCTGGCTCTACAGTTCAAAAGAGGCTACCGAACTGACTTGTAATTTAGTACAGCCTCTCCTCACATAGCGATGTACTCATTTACCAACAACTCGAGAGTTATGATGGCCTCTCCGACCAGTCAGTATTGTATGCCGTATGAGAACTTGGGTCATGGAAATGGGCAGTGCGGTGTCTCAGCATCACGCACCTCAGTTTCCTTCCTGCAGCTACTCTCCCCACTAGCTTTACACAAATTTGTACTTTATTGTGCACCCCCATAGTATAAGATGTCAGCAAAAAAGAATATCTTGATTTCACTTGAAGAAAGTGCCAAGAAACAAAGGAAGGCTATCAATCTTGAGGTGAAAATGAAGATTATAAACGAATATGAAGCTGGTAAGAAAGTGCCAGTGGTAGCCTGTGACTTGAAGCTGGTGCATTCTACCATTTCCACTATCTTGAAGGATAAAGATAGAGTAAAGAGGCAGTGAAAGCATCGAGAGGATTTCAAGCCATAATAACTAGGCAGCAGAAAGGTCTCAGTCATGAAATGGAGAAATTACTGGCGATCTGGTTTGATGACCAGATATAAAATAGAATACCAATGAGTCAATGTTATAAATGTTTAAAGTATCGGTAAAGGGTGGTTCCTCAATTAACGATGAATTTGTTTATCAATGCAGTCTTAGGAACCGAACCCCATTGTTAAATAAGGAGAGGCTGTAATTACAAGTTCAGTCATTTCCCAAGGTAGGGGGACCCAAAGAAGAGAACACTCACCATGAGCATTAATAAAGAAAGAAGAAGAATGGAAGCGTGTGAGAGCATGTTAGATAAGAGTGAATGGAGATGAATGGCTTTTGGGACCTGATGAGCTGTTGGAGTGTAAGCAGGGTAATATTTTGTGAAGGGATTCAGGAAACCAGTTAGCCAGACTTGAGTCCTGAGATAGGAAGTACAATGCCTGCACTTTAAAGGAGGGGTCTGGGATATTGGCTGTTTGGAGTGACGTCTAAACTGTCACATTTGAGCACCTCTGCAAAGACAGCAATTATGTATGAATTATGGTGAAAGTGTTGAATAATGATGAAAGCTTTTTCTCTCTGTTTTTGGGTCATCCTGCCTTGGTGGGAAATGGCTAACGTATTAAAAACAAAGAAAGAATGCCAGACACAGTTTATGCAGCACTTGAGAGAAATGAGTATCCTGTTGGACTCTTCCTTGCTCTGAGTTAATTTAGGCTGCTGATGCTGTTGACTACAGCATTCACCTACTCAAGCTTAACCACTATGAACTCAGAAGACATAGTTACACAATTATAATCTTACCACAATAACAGACAACATGTAGCCATAAATGACACCTTGTCTAGCACCCAAGCAATTACACTGAAACATAATGACGAACAATACTTAGATCAGGTATGGAACTTTTCAATCTATTTATGGATGTAGGAAAGGCATATGACAGAGTGGATAAGGGAGTAATGTGGCAGACGTTGCAAATATAAAAAGTGGAAGGTTACTTGAAGCAGCAAAGTGCTTTTATGTCGATAGGAAGACATAGGTTAGATTATGTTAGTGTGAGATTATTTTCCAGTAAAAGTTGGCCTTAGACAGGGATGTGTGATGTCACCAT